ACACACACACACACACACACACACACACACACACACACACCTTCTGTCGACAGTCACACAGTGACAGTGTGGTATTTCTATTTTTTTTTTAAAAAGATTGCACACAGACCCCCCCCCCCCCCCACACACCCCAAAGACAGCAGCCCTCCTCCCACAGGACTCCTGGTTGGCATGGATCAGCCCCCAAGACAGCTTCACACACACACACACACACACACACACACACACACACACGCTTTCACACACATTACTGTGGAGCAGGTCGTGTGTGTATGTGCGCATGCATGCATGTGTAATGAAGAGGGTACCGCAGAGATTTACAGTGTTGGCACCCGGTCCAGTCGAATGGGTGGATCGCTGCCACTCTCCCCGCCAGCTCCCGATGAAATGTGCCATGTTTTGTTTTCCTCTTTTCAAGTGAGCCCATGAAAAGAATTAGCAAGATGAGAAAGTGGCAGGAAGATCTCTCTGGGCGTCCATCTGTCCGTTACTGAAATAACAGCCGTCCGCTTAGAGAAAGGGGTGGTCGGGGGGGGGGGATTTCGTTGACTTGATAAGAGGAGGATTTGACTCTGAGTACAGCCGGCAATCGAGGGTCTAGCTGGGTAAATGCATGGGTAGATAGATCAGACACTCAACTAAAATAAATGATCTTTAATAATATTGCGACTAGAACGTGATGAAGAGGAGGAAACATTTGCTGTCTTTAAAGACGCTGCACTCATCCTCCTGACAGCAACTCTTTCCTTAATCAGCTGCAAAGAATAAAAAATAAGCCCGAAACATGCAGCCCCTTGCAGTCGATTAACAAATTATTATATATATATATCTTAATATATCTTATTAGAGAATTACATCTCTTTCTCTCCATGTAATATTTGCATTCTGTGTTTAAGTACTCGAGACAAAAGCAACGGTTAAAAAAAAAATTGACATGCAAATTCTTCGCAAGACCTTTGTTTGGCTCATTTTATGGAATCAGTGTAGCATTTAAGTTTCATGGAATAAGCAAGCTAGCATGCTAACTAGCATACAACTGGCTAGTTAGCGTGCTAATGCCCTCCCCCTCACTCCCCGCCGCTCCACCAGGAGGAAACCTCCGGTTCTGCCGAGTGAAACCGATGCGGAAGTGTCTTAAAACTTGCATTCTCTCTAGTGTCCACCAGGGGGCGACTCCTCTGGTTGTATAGAAGTCTATGAGAAAATGACTCTACTTCTCTCTTGATTAATTACCTCAGTAAACATTGTAAACATGAGTTTATGGTCTCAATCTCTAGTTTCAAGTCTTCTTCAATACAGCATGATGTTCATTTAGTACATTATGGTCCATTTAGAGTCACACGGACCATAAAGCAGGGGATGCTTTAGGGCGGGGTTTATTGTGATTAACAGGTCGCTGCTGCTACCACACATGGCATCTCTATGTCACTCATCCACATTCCAAATATGGTCACTTCTGTTCATCGGCTGCGAAAAAACCAACATGGCGACTGCAAAATCGCCGAACTCTGGCCTTCAAAACATCAGTCCTATGACGACGTCTACTTCTGATATATAGTCTATGCGCTGCACAGAAGGACAAGCTAGTTACCTAGCGATAGCTAACTCGCCATGCCGTCCTCCGGAGCTGCTTCCGCTAATCTCTCCGGAGAGCTGCGATAACATTTTACGGCCCCCGCTGGCTTGGTTGTCACCATAACAACTAATATTAATCGACAACTTTTCTTTTGTACAAGTAAAAATGACCCGGAGAGAAAAGTGAAACGTCCGTTCTGCTGCTATTCTATTTCTGTGGGTTGGGATTAGTCACCAGAAAAACCCTTGAGAACCAACCTTGCATCTCCACTCATGTTCAGCTCAACCGGTGGCGTTCTTACTCTTCAGAGAAGCTCTGAGGTGTTGGAAGTTTAAAAAAAAAAAAAAAAAAAAAGAAGCAATCTGCCATCCAGACTCACACCTCTCTCTCTTTCTCTCACAGTCTGTCTCTCTACAGCACTGCCACATTCCCTTCAGCCATCAAATGAGCTGTACTCTCTTACCCAGAATATGTGCCAAAGGAATCAGCGGCTGGGCTTTAATTGCTACCAATTAATACTGATAACCTGTCTATGGCATATCGGCCCTACTTTATTATCAGTACACAGCACAGGGCAAGGAGATGAGGCCGGCGGTGTCGACAAGCTGCCTCCTCTCACGTCACTGTAACAAAGCGGAGGATGTGCACCTCTCTTACCTGACCTTAGACCAAATGTCTCGATCACTTTAATAACGAGGCTGTTAGATAGAATCACATTCGGCTCATGACGGAGTGTGATTTAATTGCCGGTATACATTTTTGTGTAAGAATAAGATAATTTCTTTCTCAATGTTGTAGTCTTATTTTGGAGTATGACAGCTTGTCAAATATCAGGAGTCTCAGGTTTTTTTGCTTCAAGACTTTTTGCAAAATGAATTGTTAAGCAAACATTCACTTGTCACTGCTTCTCAATTCAGGATGTGCTGTTTTTCCTTGTCTTATGTGATAGTAAATTCTAAATATTTGGGTTTTTTCAGCCATAGCAATATCTGGATATCTGCCATTTCACATAAATGCCGAAAAACGTTTAAAAAAAATAGCCCAAAATGAACCAAAATCAATGTCAAAATGAACTGAAACACTTCAACGCGCCGCTTTTCTTTCAGGACTCGCAGGACTTTTGGAAACCAAATTCCTCCCCAGGTCAGAAGACAAACTGTATCTTATGACGTTCCAGTTTCTCCCTGTTTTCAGAGCCGATTAGCCAGCAAACCAATAAACACGTCAGACTTCAATCTGACTGCTGATAGCTGCTGCTGCGCTCCGGCCCTAAAACTTGCCACGCATAGCAAACCAATGATGAGCGTGGACGACCAGCAATGAGGAAATATGCACACAGCGTATATCCACACACACACACACACACACGCACACACACACACACACACACAGCTCCCCATATAGAGCTGCAGCAATCTGTAATATCCCACTGTGAGTTCATCCTTCTGCTTTGTGGTATTTGTATCCTCTGTGGTATCACTGTGATATTACTACAAGATATTCAAGGTGCACAATCGCACAGTACATTTATCATGCTTATAGTATCATTACCAGTACCATTCAGTTCCATTATAGGGGCTTATTGTGTCAATCAGGTATCTGAATAACATCTTTCTGGTTTTTATTGGACTATTTTCATCTGGGTAACTGCAACCCTCAAAAAATGTGCTACACTTAATAAAAAAAAAGGGCCGACACAGCATCCTGTGCTGCTTTTAACTCCAGTGACCCACAAAATCATTAAAACGGCAACTAATCAGACTATACATGAAAAGCAAAAACGGGACACAAAGCAGGTGCAGTGCTATAATTAATCTGGACAGAAAATAGGTTACCTCTGTTGAGTCAAAAAAAAAATGTTGCTGTAAAACTCAGTGGAAAATCACGCATTAAATGACCGAGCTGATGGGAGCCAAATGCAGGAGGAAAAGCCTTTTGTTTACACTGCTGATTGTGATTCCTCGCGCTTCATGCTGGAGGTCAGAGATTACCCGACCCTTTAATTTAACACTGCATCCCCTCATTAGGAGGTTTTCTTACTAAAAAGAAAACCACGTTCGCCTGCTCGGAATCAGGCCATGTGGGTTATTATAGAGCGGTTAGATGGGTAAGTAGGTGACAGTTCAACGCGCAACATCTGGACGTAGAAGTGCTAAACCCACCCCAAAAAAAAAAAAGCCACTGCGACCCTTCCGCCGCTGGTGCTTCTGCGGTGGGGATGGTGGTGCTCTTATACCGTTTTATACTGCCGCCGATAAAAGCCAGATTATAAGAGCCGGGGCAGAGAGCCGAGGAAACGTGGAGAGGGTTAGGAGATCAGAGGCGAAGAGTGGATGATAATCTTGCCATAACATCGGGATAGGTCGATGTAACCAGATTAAACTGAGCTAATGAAATACAACAGAAATGGAGGATTGGAGGAGGAGGAGGAGGGGTGGGAGAGATGTATGGATGAGAAGATCCTAAATAAAAACCGACATGAACTAATGAGAGAAAGCAGGGAGAGGTCAAGAACTGCATTTTTTTAAATCAACGAAACAAAGACTGACACGTGCCATTGCCGCTGCTGTTAATTGTCTCTACAGTGCCAGAGAGATAAACATTTTTCTTAACCCCCCAAAAAAAAAAATCATAAATATATCTTAATTCAACCTGCACCGGACAGACTTTCCCAGCGCATCCAGGAGCGCCGTTTCAACAAGTACCACTCCCGGTTCTAAAAAGGCGAGCTTTGGAGGCATTTCTCCCCGTGGACCCCCGCTACACCTTCCCCCTAAAATACAAAATTATTCCCACTGACATTTCCCCCAATGCAGCAATGCGCGCTCCCAAAAGCCAATTGCCAGGGAAGTGGAGGAGGAGGAGGAGGGGGTGTCATGTTTGGAGATTGAGAGCGCGCACTGCCCCACCACCACCAGCACAAAAAACTCAACACGGCGGCGCGCGCACGGACACGCGCTGGCCTATAGCGGGGAAGCCGATTGGCTAAAGTGCAGCTCCATCTGCGCACGTGACATGCCCTGCTTACAATAAATAAACAGCCATGGAATAATGTATATACAAAAAAAATACCCCGGTGGCTCCCAAACTGAATAAAACAACTGTCACAAACACAACGTGCGCAGGTGGAAACACCTGTCAACATGCCGGACACGAGCCTGAAAACTTAGAGAGCTGAACATTTTTTTTGTTGTTTGTGGATGTGTCCGGTTTGGAGGCAGGCGGCGCCAGGCAACAGCCGTGCGTAACACACACACACAAAAAATGACAGCTTCACGTAGAGCCTATAGGTTTTCCGGTGGACATTACAGCCACGGCGATCCGCTCCACGGAAACAAACAGGCAAACACACAGTTACCGGCACCCTGCGGCTCCCCGGAACCGCGCGGCACACACTCGCGCACACAACGCCAAGCGAGCTTACCTACACAGTGAATGAGTTTGTGCCTCCAAGAGTCAAGTTCCTGCCGAAAGCCGCGCCTCTCTACCGTGCATTGCTGCCTTTTGCACAGACTCGCCATTTTCTGTCGGCCCCTCCCGTGGGCGCGCACATACTGCTGGGTGCTTCCCTGCGCGCACGTCACCAGTGGGTTTTTATTCTAGGGCTGGGTGGAGTGAGATATGAGGGGGACGGGGCTGCAGCATCCCCTTTTTCTACAGCGCTCATTTGTCCCACCCACCAAAAAGCGGCCCTTCCTCCTCCCCCTCCTCCTCATCCTCCTCCACCCCTCCCAGCATCTCCGTGCGAGCATGTGCTGTCATTGGTCGTTTATTGGGACGTTTGTCTGCTTTAATGTTGTACAGGGTGCAGCACATGGCGCCTGTGCTCTAAATTTGCCATGACTTAAAGCGATGTGTGTCAAAGGGCGCGCGGCTGTGCCGGGGATTTAAAATGCGCATGAAGACGCTGCGTTGTTTAAATTAACAGATATGTCGTCAGTAAATAAACTGAAGCCTAGATTCTAAAGACTTTGTATACAAAGAGGCGTTGTTGTCAAAAACTGCCCGAGTATTTCATTTTACAAAAATCAAAGAGCCTACAGATCTTTGAAGCGACTGTAAACAGATCGCGACTGTCCGAAACATGCCCATAATGTGCACGTGAGGCTCACGGTGCGTCTTTACCAGGAACCCGTCAATTCAACCAGCCTCATCACTAATATTCATGCGCACTAATAGTCTCATTTAGCCAATTAAAGGATTACTACAACTTCTCTTTTAATGGATTATGTTGCTTTTCAGTACTGAGTCGTTTTAAGCAAATTAATAAACGCTCGATTATTCTGCGATCTCAACCCATAATGCATCTCGAGTACAGGATTTGCCATAACGGACAATGTTTAAAACACCATATTAAGATATTATGATTTCATAAATACTGATGGCATGGGTCACGAGAAAAGAAAATGTCATTTGCATCGTTCACACTTCATTTCTTAATTGTTCTACAAGAATTATTTAATTTTTATTTAATTTTCCCCAAAAATGTCAATAAGAATTAAGAACTCTTATAAACACAACATGACTAAAAATCGGTCCCACACCTGCCTTTATAGTCGGAAACGACAGGAAAGAACATGGGAAATGATTCGGAAATGACAGAATTTTGTGTCCCAACATTAGAATCCAAATGCTTTTTCAGCAGCGTCTCAATGCTGCTGAAACACTCACAACGACGGGTCTTAAAGGAGTCAGCATACAAATGTGGACGTTTCTAAACTCTCCAAGGCTGCTGAAACCACGTCAGTGTCCTCGGATGTAGTCACGGAGCCGCCTTCGTCCAAATGGGCAGACAGAAGTCAAAACTTCATTTTGTTTAAGAGGAAGTCCGTATCCAAAGCACTGACCACGGCATGACCTTACAAATATATACAAATACACTCAAGTTGACAGGTCAACATGCAAAACAGCACAGAGAACACACATCAACATCACAAACAACATCGGGGTAACTAAATGAAAAATCATGCCCTCTTTAAAAAAACTGCTCCTAATTAAACTGACCTCAAGTTTATTATCGGCAAATTTAGTCAACAATGAAAATATTCAAAGCTCAAAGTTCAAAGTTGGTTCTGGCTTATTAATGATCCAAAAGTTGGGAGTCCAGTTTTTTTTATTTCATTTGGGTCACCTTGATTCATTTTGAGTGAATTATTGGCTTCTTCCTCATCACTTCATTTAAGAAACCCTCACCACCTCAGTGCAGCTGTTTGAGCGCACAGGGAGATCAATAAATCAAGTTCCATAAAAAGTCGCCAAAACGCGGGTCTAATCACCAAATTGAAACGTGAAACGAGCCGCTGTCGTTTTTATAATCCTACAGAGACGGTGGGCAAAAGGCATAAAAATAAATAAATAAATAAAAACACGGCAAGGGCAAACGCTGTGAACGGAGCGAGCACTCGGGCTAATTAAGTCGTTAAACCCGTTGCCCTCGAAAAAAGATGTCTCCCGCGGAGGGCTGGACAACCAGGAGAAGGAGGCAGCCAATAGGAGGACGCCTTGAGGCCAGGTGGCAGGAACGGCGGCCAATCAGCGCGCGGTACCTTGCGGAGACGCTGAGGCAGCTCTGCCGGGGAACCAGCGAGCTGCACGGGGGGGAAGGAAGGCGAAATTGTCGCTGAGAGGAGCAGAAATCCTCCGCGTTGTTTTTCAGTGATGTAGAGAAAAAGGAGTTGCTCTTTAATAAAAACAGGTAAACCGTTTATTCTATTTCTCCAGGGAGCTCACTGTGTGTGTGTGTGTGTGTGTGTGTGTGTGGGCGCGCGCTGACAGCGTCATGCCGGCAGGATGAAAGGGATAAGGGCGCCGTTACTGTGGCAACATTAGATGGAGGGATACACACTCCTCCTCCCGTTTCTTATGACAGCGCGCCTGATGGAATTTTTTTTTGGGGGGGCAATTACGCAGCCTGATGAACGGGCTTCAGATGTTTCCTCTCGCGCTGTGAAGCCTAAATGTTTGTGTGATGCTCCTGTCGGCGGCGGTTTGTGTGTGAGCTCATTCTGAGGACAATAGAAAGGAGAAGGATGGCCCTTTAAGAGACGCACAGCAAAACACAGCTGGTCGAACAAATGACAAAAAAAAACAAAAACAGAAACTGGAAATTTAAAGTGCCAGACAGCTCCAGTTCAGACAAATAAGAAGCCTAAAATGAATAAAAACACATCTGTTTTACCGGTGTGTTGCTGTCACAGCTGGATCACCGACGTCACATGGTGAAGCCGTGTTTAACACTTATCTGACACAAGCTAAAGGGCAAAAGTACGTGGAAACCCGCATTTATGTGGCAGGTGATTCACTGATATTTAGAAAGAAATGGCAACACGCTCTTCAAGGCTGCATCAAAACAGCTGTAAAAGCCGTTGTCTTATTTCAGTTTGTATCTCATTAGTTCCTTGTAATGGCAGATTCCAGTACTGCGGAAAATAATAATAACAGAGTCCTACAAGTGTTTCAGCATGTGGAACCTTAAAATCGAGGTCCGGCCGGATATTATTTCCTCCGCGTTAATGTTCCGGTGTGCAAGCATTCATAAGAAACCACAAAATCTGTTTGTATACATTTCCTATTGAGACGAAAATCAATGTTTGGTGTTTAAGAGCTTCCGGAGTTCTGTTGTAGCCAGCGGACATCCGGGTCAAGGCTTCCTCTTCTCTGCACCGATCATTGTTTAGAGTCCGATTATCAACTTGAGATGCGAGGATGGAGCTGTGGTTGAGAGACGGCGTCTACAACCAGATTCCTTCAACGTTTTTACACTCAATTTAAAATGTATTTTTAAAAGCAATTGGTCAATGGTGAAGACAACTCAAACTACGAACGGAAACCAGAAAGCTTTCAATATTCACATGCATTTCTGACTGTTTTCAACTGTGAGCCAGATAAACACCAGTGTTGGACCCAGGCGGGAACCTCCGGTTGTGAAAAGTGAAGCCGATGCTTCATGTCTTAAAGCTGCATTCTCTCTAGTGTCCAGCAGGGGGCGACTCCTGGTTGTATAGAAGTCTATGAGAAAATGACTCTACTTCTCTCTTGATTTATTACCTCAGTAAACATTGTAAACATGAGTTTATGGTCTCAATCTCTAGTTTCAAGTCTTCTTCAATACAGCATGATGTTCATTTAGTACATTATGGTCCATTTAGTTTCCATCCGTAGCTCGCTGCATAATCTGGGCACAATTTGTGCTGCAAAACACCCTGCAGAGGTCAAAAAGTAGCACTTAACCTATGATGGATTGAAAGGTGGACACGTTACTATAAAAACTCTCACTGTGTGTGTGCGTGCGTGTGTGTGTGTGTGTGTGTGTGTCACAATAACTCCCGCTGTTGATCATGGGTCTTTTGTGTTGTCGTGTGTGTCAGCAGCAGGACCCATGACCCTGACACGAGGTTCCTTCAGCTACTCCAACGGCGAGGAGTACCACGGCGAATGGAAAGAAGGCAAGGCTGACCCGCTCACTCTCACCCGTCCATAACCGGCCACGTTTGCATGCAGAGCAGGAGTGTTGCAACAATGTGATTGAGACAATAATGCACTTTCAAAAGGTAGAGCCTGTGTAAATGCCACACTTGTGTTAGATTTGTGTAATAAGTAATCACATAAGCAGCGGCATTTCTTTGAGTACGTGTTCGGCTGTACGGACAGAAGTCAGTTCTGGACTGTTTCTGTTATTAAAAGGATAGTTCAGATGTTATGAAGTGTGTTTGTATGAGGTTCTCCTCCACAGTCAGTGTTCTACTACAGCAGATGAGTTTATAGAGACAGACAGGAGAACCAGCACGGGAGCAAAGCAATGTTCTGCTGAGGACGTATTTTAGACTCCTAAAAGAATCAGTTGTATTCAAGTGTATATAAATATATATATATATTTATATTATATTTTCAACGCTTTACTTTGTCTTGAGACAGCGATGCTGAAGCAGTTACCTCTCTTCAAAGCCACCAGACTCCTTTGACAAACAGTGATTTTACCTCTCAGAACACAGGAGTTGCTGGTTTACCGCTGCCTCCATCAGTTAGTTTGTTTGTGTTATTGTGTGACTTTGGTTAGTTCGGATTCACCACATTGACACAACAACACAAACAAGCTAACCGATTGAGGCAGCAGTAGACAAGTGGTTGTCTCATGGCGAGGTTAACTGGCAAAGATATTCCAAACGTATCCAACATACAGCGATCTTTCCCCCAGGAGACCGCTGCTCGCTCCCCGTGTGAAACGAGAAGTCAGTGTTGATTTGTCGCATAACTTGCGTACTTCATTAACAGCACTTCCGTGTTTGTATTTAAGCCAAACAATCATCTTTTTTCCGAAAAATAACTCAGTAGTTTTGTTGCCTAAACCTAACTGAGTGTGAAAACTGAAGTTTATTTTGAAAGGACCGTATGCGGCACGGAAATTGAGGAGTAACTTTTCATAAGATATGACACGAATCATTGTGTGAGGATACGTTTCCCTATAGCATCACTATTACACAACGTTTAACCATGAAAAGGAAGAGAATCTGAAACGATTGCATGAGAGTCTTTGGAGCAGAGACGGATAGTTGTCGGACTCTGCTCGGTGCAGGACGATGCTACGCTATGATTGGCCAGAATGCCCTCGAGGGGCGGGACAAAAGCGACTACATTTGCCATCAAAACTAATTGGACGTCCAGATAAAATGTGCAGAATTTTCCCTTTAAGGAAAACCTATCAGGATAAAACGGTTAAGCCTGTAAATATGATTTATTTTTTAAAACTGTGCTTAAAGAAAGTTCTCAGCTTTTGAGGGATCTCACGTCAGGAGGAAAGTTGAGCGTACCGTCAGTGAGTCACAACAGCAAAACTAAACAAACCTGAAATCGCACAGATTTCATCTAACAAGCAAAAAAAAAAAGAGAGAACTGATAAAAGGTGTCAAGCTGAAGTCAGTAACTAGAGGAAAAACGTACACACATGCACACACAGACCATCTGGTGCCAGTGAGCCCACTGAGACAGGATATCACACTACCGAAACCAGTATTTGCAGTTTGACAAAAACACAGAGACAACCTACAGGGCAAGGTTAAACAAAGAACAAAAGTTGGCACCAAAGCAGGTGTTGGACTGCGGAGAGGAACATATGGTCTCTGCACGGTGAGCACAAAACTGCTAAACTGGTTTGGCTCGGATGCTCCGATGAGCTCGGCTTTATTGCACAGCAGTGTTTAAAAACGCTTCTTTTTTTTTTTTATTGCTCTCCTGGAGGGTTCATTTGTTCTGGAGCTTTTAGTCGTGATCACGTGATGAACTCGATCCCGTGTCATGGAGTTCTAAACACTCCTTTGAAAGTTAAATTGAGACACTTTAGTTGTGGTTCTGGAGCTTTCGATCATATCACATGATCTTCATCTGCCTTTCTGTTTTATGTCGACCACGTCTGCATTCCATTATAAACATACGTGTAATGCGATATAATCTGCTTAAAGCGCCGTACCATTATACCGATAAGCTGCCACACACATCCATAATCACATCCATAATGCTTTATAACAATAATCATAACATATTATAATGATGTTATTGATGTGTTATATGTAAAGTATCATAATATGTCAGCTGGTCACTCACTGACTTTTTAGTTTTGCTTTAAGTAAATTAAAAAAAACTCTTCTTTTTTTCACTTTAAAGCAAACAATGACCACTAACTTATGACATCCACAATGATCCACTCCGGGGAGTGACCAGCAAATACAAAGTATTATAATATGTGACCTTATAAGTCATAATAAAATGCTTTATAATGATGTAAAGCATTATGAATATGTGCTTACAACTGTAATTAAACAGAGCTTTGGGCAGATTGTAACACATAAGTATGTCTAGAATGTGAAATAGACACGAGCCTCAGCTAATTGGTAAACGAAGAGTCCCTGAAGTTTGAACAAACACAGTTCCATCTGCTGATGAAGATCATGTGTTATGATTGAAAGCTGAGGTTCAGCAGAATGTCCTCAACTCACAGTCAACTTACTCTTTTGATTCTTTATTATCTCACGCACCTTTCTTTACCGAAAAAAGGCAGTGAGCTGCGGTTCAACGCAGCAGAACAAAGAGCGAGAAGAGAACAATGTTTTATTTCTAGTTGTCATTTGTGTAATCTTAAAATATGTCAGCTTGCATCGTGATGAAGATTAGTTGGACTGTATCTACATATTACTCCCTTTACACCCATCATTCTTTCCCCCATGCTGTTAACAACTCTTTAATAACTCTCACCTTGTATAGTTACGCGTATAAACAGAGATAAAGTTCTCCTTTCAATATATTTTATTGCACTTTTTTTCTAAAACGTGTGCGTTTCACACTTTTAGCGCTTTTGAGTTAAATGAACACAGCTGACTTTGCTCTGTAACGTGTAACTGTGTGTGTGTGTGTGTCGGTGTTGTGATGAACACAGACTAATGTGTGTGTTGTGTCCATGCGTGCAGAGAGGAACTGTTTGCACACAAACATGTAGCGGTGCGCCGGCCAGAGGTCTACGGTGTCACATGAATAATTGAGCCGAGCGCCGGTTGAAGACGGGCCCTGCTGGGCTATCAGGTTACAGGAAGCAGGCCGGGTACATGCACGAGCCATTTACTACTGTACTGTACTGTACTGTACCGCGCAGTCAGTTAACATCGATGCATCACCGCTATTGATTGACATAAAAGCCGGACAAATTCAGCTAAAACCGTAATTAGCCAGAGACCGCGACCCGACACGAGATGGAGGAGAGGCGTAACAAAGCAGCTGAGTGACAGATTAGAGTCTGGACAGAGCAAATCCTGCCCCCCCCACCCCTCCTCCTCCTCCTCCCCTCCCCTCCCCTCCCCGTCCCACCCAGTAAAAGAAAGTAAACTGTTAGCTTTCACTTGTTGCCACTTGATTTCTTTATTTTCAACAGCACCATTCATACTTGGATGCTCCTCTTTCACTTGAAGGAAGACGCTGTGTTTGGCGCTTTGGTCCACACTCCACAGATTTGGTCATATTTCAGCGGCTGTAGTGCGTGAAATCTCTCCGCCTCGGGGGGGGGGGGGGGTCACAGTCGCTCGTCAGGGGTCTCCCGCAGGCTGAAGAGTTGGATTTAAGCCCCTGTTTGGCCCTCTTCTTTACCCCAATATACTTAATGGAGTCCGGCTTGACACACACACACACACACACACACACACACACACACACACACACACACACACACACACACATCTGCACACATGGATGCAGAGCTCCCGATTTAGTTTCTCCAAATCTCCCGTGAAACCCTGCTGAGATTAGGCAGCGAGCAGCACAGTAAGCAGCCCTGACAGATGGACTGCCTAACTTACTTTGCCATTAGCTGGGAGCGAGGGACAACACTCACTAGGGCTCACCTTTGCCTCACCCCCCCCCTGCCACGCAGCCTGCCTCCCCTCTTGTAAATCCCAATCTGCTGTCAGGGATCCCCTCCCACCACCACCACCACCACCAACAGATCCTCCTCTCTCCTCTCCTCTCCTCTCCATCAGCTTCATGCCACTTGGCGAGCTCACAGTAAATCCTATTCCTCGCTTACAGCTGCCACGAGGAACCCCGGGACCTCCTCAGCCCGCGTCCAACTGTGCCACACATCCAGTTATTCTCCTAAATCCCGCCGGGGCGTGCTGCTAAATAGAGGCCTGACGAGGAGAAATGCTCCGTCTCCTTCGACTGCCACCTCCCCTGTTCCTGGAAATTAGTCACGGAATTAGAGAGAGAATTAGGTCTCACCTCTGTGGGAACATTTTAAGAGGTGAAATATGAAAGAGAGCCCCTCACCTTTTGTCTTTTAGCACCAATTATGACTCTCCTGAACTGCTAACTTCAAATTTTGCGTTAGAATAATAATGTTTAACCAAGAAAAACTCCACATACCTTCCAGTGAGGCTCTTTATCTTTATGGTATTCATATGAATGTTTGTATTCATTGTGAACACTAACAGAGTACATCACAAGCTGTAGAAAAACATGGAAGTCGCGTCTGTGACATCACCCACATGAAGGGACTATTTGAAGAGGGAGAAAGTCCAGATCAGTGCAGTGCGAGGGTGAGCTGTGATAGGCCGAGAAACCTGTCAATCAAGCCAACACGTTTCCTAATTCACCTGCCTCCTGCAGATATTAGGTGTGAAGCTCAGAGCCCGGTTACATAAGACACCTTAAGATGTTTTCTTAAAGTTTCCTTAAAACAAAATAGGTTGCACACAAAATCCTTTAGTCTTCTCCTTAAGCTGTCCTGTAAACATCCACTTAAATATTTAAGGGTTTCTTAACTTACTTCAGGAATCCCTTAAAGTTAGTTTAACCATTTCAAACTGGAATTATTCACCCCTTAATATATGTCTGACAAAGAAACGAATGAGACGCTTAACAGAAGGCGGTATAACGCTGTGCTTGTTCTTTAAACATTTGTGTTGTGTAATTCATCTCTTCTACATATAACATCACCTGTATAGACTGGCTCTGAATTGTATGACTGTTATTGTATGTATATTAATGCCATTCATGTTTATCATGTGTGTGTATCGGCCATTTGACATGTCACTGCAGGGTAAACACAGGTGTAATTATTTCAATTGATTGCGGTCCCATTCTGTTTCGTGTGCCACAGTCATTCCAGCGAACCAGCGTGCACATCCCACCGAAATGGAACAGGGCCATAAATATTGTTTTTAATTACACCTGTGTTTACCCAGCAGTGACATGCCAAAACGGCCCCATTGTATGTCAGTGTTTGTATGTGCCATCACCATCTAATGTGTTATGTATTGCATGTAAGTGGACCCCAGGAATATTAGCTGATTAGCGGGGCGTCAGTGGGGATCCATTAAATAAAGAAATAAACACTTAGCGACGCACCGCTGACGCCATCTTAACCACAACATAGTGAGTTTATGGCAACAAATAAAGAAAATGAATGCAGAACTATTTGTGACAATCACGTGATCGCGCGCGCAAAGTAAAACAAATTTGGAGGTGCACGACTACTTGCGCCGCACGACCATTGATTACGTCATTTTCCTCGTGCCGGCTTCACTACGGCGACTATAGCCGAAGATACAAAGTGCTCTGTGCAACCGGCCTCCGATATTCAGCCACTCGCACGACGTTTGTGCTGCGAAGCACATTCACAAACAACGACCTACTTATCGCCATGTTTCATCATCTTGACTTCATATTGACTTAATCACTGGTTACTTTCTTTGTACTGTGATGGGAAAAAAAAACTTTTTGGAAACGTAATGAAAAGTGTCGAAAAGGAGAAACTGTGATATTCGTTTGTTACTTTATAGCCCAGAACTCACCACAACCTGTACTGGGTTAACAGATGGTGGAAGTTCATGGTCGGGTTTTCACTTCAATCTCTTATGCGAAGAGGGTTTGCTCATGAATAATACCCTGGGTGAAATGAACACATGGGATACAATTGGTGATGTGAGGCACGAGAAACATAACCTCCAATATTGTTATGTTTTCAAGGACAGAAACAATGTGCTTTTGAAATATTGACGGATTTCAGTAAACATTTCTTTCGTAGTTAGTCGGTGACCTCCAGAGATGGTTTGGGACACAAACAAGCCGATTGACCTTTGAAGTGCTCGTTATATAGATCCTTGAGAAACATGTTCCGAATGCAACGTAGCGACGCAATATTTTCAATATCATCCAATCATAAAAAAAAAAACACGATCTTAGAAGGCCAAATAGACTCATGTATAAATCTTCCGTTTGGTATCGTTCAGTTATTATACTTCATAACTGCTTATTGTTTCCTTTCACTACCTTCAACACACACTGCTGTGCTGCTCGTTATAGAACTGTACATATATATATATATATACACAGACAATTCAAATGTACAAAATACTACAAAATATCAATGAAATAAAACCCGACCAATACTGGAGTTCTGATGTTTACGTTTGAGAGTTTAAAACACATCATAGCAATATATTGACCAACATACTTTGAAACGTAATCATGAATGCATTTGTGGCATAAATCGTACACGTTATTAGTTGTATATACATGTTTATATACTGTATATATACATACATGCATGTATGTACAGTATATATATATATATATACACACACATATACACACTTGTATACCAGCACAAAGTAAATAACAAAATACATGATAATATAAATATACCATATGACACTACTCATTCAAATTACTGTATTCTTTTGCGACTTTAAATATTTGCTATATATTTTTGACACTTTGAGGCTTTTTGTGCCTCATGATTTCAGTTTCATATCATCATCATCATAATATATATATATATAAATATATATATATATATATATATATATATATATATATATATATATAATAAATATATAATAAACTGTACCTAATTTGCCAGAAACAGTGTCTTTAAAGTACCTGCCTGAGTTGTGTGTGTGTGCCGCTGCAGGTCTGCGTCATGGCCTGGGTCAGCTGACCTTCAGCGACGGGACGTGCTACACGGGACAGTTTGAGAACGGCCTCTTCAACGGCTGTGGGGTCCTGGTCTTCCCCGACGGCTCCAGGTCTGTGCTCACACCTCTATATTGTTTCTCTCCGTCATCCGTTTGTTTTTAGAATTGTTAATTTTTTTATGAATAAAGATTCCCTTAAATCAAGTTTATTTCAATATTGTTCAAGGAGGTTCTCAACATTGCGACGGCTGAGCCTGCGGCTAACAGCTAACAGTGCTAACATCCAACAGTGCTAACAGTGCTAACATCTAACAGAGCTAACAGTGCTAACATCTAACAGAGCTAACATCTAACAGAGCTAACAGCTAACAGTGCTAACATCCAACAGTGCTAACAGTGCTAACATCTAACAGAGCTAACAGCTAACAGTGCTAACATCCAACAGTGCTAACATCCAACAGTGCTAACATCTAACAGAGCTAACAGCTAACAGTGCTAACAGTGCTAACATCTAACAGAGCTAACAGCTAACAGTGCTAACAGAGCAAACAACAGCAACAGTGCCGACATTGTGACATTGTGACTCTCTGCTCAGGTGGACGTTACTCCACTACTGTATATCTGTACATAGCTAATAGTTGTTTACATATAAATTAATTCTCTGAATATTGAATTAAGCACCTTTAATAGTAGCTGCCAAACGTTCAGCTCTCAGTCACTGGGGAGACATGTTAACTTTAGGGCTGCAACTAACAAATATTTTCATCCTCAGTTACATTTCTGTTAAATCGATTTATCAATAAAATGGTTATTTTGTCAAAATGCTCATCACAACTTCTCAGAGCCCAGAGCGATGACTTAAAATGTAAGTTAGTTCACTTGGTGTGTTGGTTTTCCATAAGCATCTCTATCGTCATGCACTATACTGTGAAACTCCTGACCCTGATGTACTGCAGCGCTAACTCAAGATTATTTTAATTATTGATTATTCGGTTGATTGTTTTTATGATCAGTCCATGAATTTGTTCAGTCTTTGTCATCAGTGAAGATGGTGAATCACAGTGTCCCAAAGCTTCAAATGTTTAATCTCACCAACGGTTCAAAACCAAGAGATTTTATATTTATACTATCACAACAATATAAAACAGCAAAAAAGCAACAATTAGTTACATTTCAGGAGCTGGAAACAAATAGTATTTGGTGTTTTTGACTGATGGATTATGATTAATTGATTATCAAACATGTTAGATTATTCTTTTACTAACTTTCATCACTTACATACACTATGTTATGAATGTCCCAAACAGGTTCTTATCATAAAGACATTTCATTTATTAGCTTCAGAAAAGTCTTTAGAAAGAAACAAAGAAGTAAAGAAAGTCCACCGCATGTAAAAAGAACTCCTCTGTAACTCCTGAGGTGTTGGAGTGCTTTCATCATCTTAATATTTTGAATGTCAGATTGTGTTTGAAGGAGCTCTTTCTTGCATTTGCTACTTTTCTTCATTTAGTTATCAAAAAAAAAAAAGAATAAGTTCATTAAATAGGATGTGGCTCTGTGACCCGGAACATTTCTCCCCAATTCAGAGTTTTTGCTTGTGTTGCTCAGCAGAGGAGCAACGCTCAAGTGGAGCCGAGGAAGTTGAAGTGGAGCCGGCTCAGGGCCTTCTGTTGTCTTGTCGCTTGGGAGAATCACTAATTCTTCACGGGCTTTTAAAACACTAAAAACATGTTGTTTTTTTAAAAGTGTTAATTGAAGATCTGTCCTTTGCATATGAAGATAGTTGCAGTCCTTGCACTTGAAAGGAGGCTGTGAGGAGTGTGTCGCTCCTTCACGGAGAGCGGCAGCGATAATGAGCGGCGGGTTAAAGAGCAGAGAACGTCTCGTTGACCTGCTGGTGTTTTGGCCGCTGATTCTAAATTCCCTTTTTATCAGTGAATGGGGGGAAAGAAATCAGGTGACGGTGAATGTCACTGGTTGTTTTTCTGTGCTTCACCCTGAGTGTGACCCAGATGAATTAGTTTTAATGAATGAATTATTACTATTATTATGATTATTATGAAGCAAGACATCCTGTCGACGTGTTTGAACTCTTCTTCTGCTCTCTGGCAGTTCGGCCTTTTGTCTGTTTCAAGCTGTTTGACATTGAAGTGATGGCGTTTTGTATTCCTGCTGTTTGTGTTTTAAAAAAGGCTGATTTCTCCCGATTTCATCTCTGTGAAAGTGTGAAAGTGAAAGAATGTAGTCGAAGGCGTTTGGTAAAAGCTACTGAAAAGAAGAAGCTTCATCGGGGGATTGTCGTCCTGTTTGGATACAAAGATGCACAATGTTGTGATGCGTCACATACTGTAATGCCTGCGGTGTGATGTCATCACTGTATTTATGACGACTGAAGCTGCTCTGTAAACCTCTCTCTCCCTCTACACGGCTTCTGACCGCTTCTGTCGACTAGAACTGACCGTTTCTAAGCGAACAGATCGAGTGAAACAACGACAACAAGAAATGCATTTTAGATTTCCCAAAACATTCTGAAAAAAGATGTTTAAATGAGGAAAGCTTTTGATTGTTTGGTCACAAATAGTTTTCCCTGTTTGCCACTTGCTGACATTCCAAACAGTCACGGCCCATTGCGCTGTAAACAATGTTCATATTTGGGGACATTCAGCAGCTGCACTGCAGCGATCGGATGGTTTTATATCACCACATCCATCAGTGAGCGGGAGGACGAGAAATGAAAATGAACCTGAAATCACATAAAATATTGAATTACTTCGTAGCGTCTCTCCGCTCTGAGGAACGACAAAAATAGAGCAACATTTCAGCACCGCTGCCAAGTGGACTCGGCATTAAAAAGCACATGTGACGGTGTTTTTGTAATTACTCTCTGTGACAGAAGGTTACACAAAGGTCTACGTTAAAATAGATCAGTTCATCTAGAGAGCGACTGGAACAAACCTGTCTGTCCGTCAGTGGGAGTAATTACAAAAACACCGTTTTCTTCTTTACTCCGACTCACAGCTCCAGAAACAGATGTTTCCATAACGGCGTTCTGTGGATAAACTGATCACATGTTGGGGAATCTAAATGGTTACTTTCTCTCCTGAAAAATATTAATACCAGTTGTTTTTTTTTTAAGTTTAAAAGTGTTTTTTTGGTGGGTAAAGTATGATAAAGCTGGCAAAGCTACGGGAGTCAGATTAGAACGTGAGGCAACTTGTAAATAACTTTTTGTGTGAATATTTGTTCTTTTATTTTCCAGGTATGAAGGTGAATTTGTTCAGGGCAAATTTCAAGGCGCCGGCGTCTTCACTCGCTTCGACGGGATGAGGTTTGAAGGCGAGTTTAAAAGCGGATGTGTGGACGGTTACGGTAAGACTTCACTAACTCTGCTGCTGTACGTAACAGCAGCGCTGGAAAGTACTTATTTGACAACTTTTGTTACTTTGGATATTCAGATTAACGATCCAAAATATAACCAACTGATGAATTATGATATTTATTATAGATTAAGATAAAACTTTATTGATCCAGAGGGACGTTAACAGGCAGCAGCATGTAAAGTAATGTGTCAGCTGCAAGGTGGGGCTCATTTTAATTAAAGTACAGGAATGCATCAATAATTATACGATATTATTCTGCATAATGAGTATTTGTGAAGGCTACTTCAGGTATATTTTGAAGCTTATACTTTTGTACGTTTACGTGTGTAATGCAGGCAATCGTCCAGTCGTGTGACGGTAAACTTTTAAAGGCATTTAAGAACATTTGGTGAGGTTTATTTCAGTCTCTCAGCCGGACTTTGGGTTCATTTGCATCACTTTAATGTTTATTTCTTTATGTTTTATGCTTCTTATAATTGAAGATTGTGTCACTTCTCACAACTGAAGGGAATGTTTTGTATCCAAGTTGTGTTACAGTCCTCTCCTCTCCGATTCTCATCGTTATAAATACTTTTTGATCATATTAAACGGTGAAACGTGTTAATTGTCTGGACTGCAGCGCACCGTGTGTGCGTGTCGGCTCGTGACTCTCTGAGGGTAATCAACACGTTTTTTATTTGAGGAACCGAGACAACATTTTTGAGCCGGTAAAAATAGAGACGGAACAAAAAGATTCCTGCAGGTTCCTGAGAGCCAACAACCTGAAGTCAGAGCCGGTTGGAGTGGTGCTTTTTAAAAGGAAGGGCCTCATTTCTAAATGTCTTTTATGCAGTTTTTTTGTTAAACATTAACCAGAGTTCAGTAACATGCAACACTAGGCCATTATACGAAGGAAGCAAGAAGTCAAACAGAAGATCAAGGAGATGAAACACAAAGAGATTCTGAGTTAAAGCAGCTTAGTTATTACCGTATATTTAATAGAGTTAACGAAGGACGAGTGAGAGAGTTCACACAGCCGTGTTTGGGGAAAGTTTTGTGTAGTTTTTGGTGAAAACTTACTTCGACCTAAACAGAGCCTCTGAAATGTGTCGAGATAATTCATGTCTCTTCAGAAACAGATTTCTGCCCTTTTTTTGTGCTTTGATGAAATACATCACATGAAGTCTTTTTGGTCCAGGAGCGCTGACGTTTTTGGACGGAGGTCCTGGCGGCGCTGGTGGCGGCGGCAGTGGCAGCCATGAGGGCCTGTTTGAGGCCAACCAGCTGATGAGGCTGGAGAACAACCAGGGAGCCGTGCAGAGAGCGCAGGCAGCAGCCGCCAAGGCCCGAGCTCTGGCCATGTGACGAGGACTACATCACCCACAGTGCCCCACTATGATCCTCCTCTTGGGTTGAACAGCCGATTGTTATTTAAGAAGAGATTAGTTTCATTCTCGTCCTCAGCTTCCTTCGTATTGTCAGTATACGGTAGGTTACTGCGATCTGTTTTCTTTTACATATATTTTAGTTCTCATTCCTGTAACATTGAGAATTCTCTGGAGTAGAAATCAATCAATCAGCCGATATGTGTCCACTGTATGTAACTCTTAGAAAGCCGCTGATTCAGGGTCAGCTGAGCCAAACACAGATTCAAACACAACTCTGGATTCAAAAGTGCGTATTGACGTTATCCACACGAAGTGAAGACACTGTGAAAGGGTTTTAGTTCTAAAACGAAAACACGGACAACACCATGGTAGAGACCTCTCAATCACAGTGTAGCCCCTCCCTAAAGCATCCCCTGCTTTATGGTCTGTGTGACTCTAAATGGACCATAATGTACTAAATGAACATCATGCTGTATTGAAGAAGACTTGAAACTAGAGATTGAGACCATAAACTCATGTTTACAATGTTTACTGAGGGAATAAATCAAGAGAGAAGTAGAGTCATTTTCTCATAGACTTCTATACAACCAGAGGAGTCGCCCCCTGGTGGACACTAGAGAGAATGCAGCTTTAAGACACTTTTCAGACACGTAGGTTGCTTCTTGGTTTAAACTAGACTAAATTTAGTTAAAACGTAGGTTTGGGGGTTCAATAGCATTTTAGCATTAGCATTAGCCATCTGAATGTCTTTGAAAACAACCTGTTAGTCCCTGATTGACTCCCTCAAGGATTCTAATTAGGTTCAGGTTTTAACATGTTGCCTGAGAGGGGCAGGCAGGAGGATTCTTATTTGTTGCGGCCTAATTAATGTTTACAACCTGTAGGTACAACCTGAACATGAGGTGAGCTGTAGGAGACAGGAAGTGTTATTTATAATAGAGACCGAATGTGAAATAACAATGCACACTTTATCGTTAACAAGCTACTCATTAGCTGCAACTTGTTGAAGTCATTTAAAAACTAAACTAAAACTTAACTCAGACATCAAAATATATTTTTAACTCTTCAAGTGGCCAAATCAGTGCTTACTGGGTTTCCTGGCTTCCTGTTCAAAGGCGTATCTGTTCTTATTGGTGCTCTAGTATTTAAATATGAATTCTGTACTATAAGTTAGCGAAACATCAGAAGCGTGTCGCTCTTGTGAATGTGAGCAGCATCTTCTGTTGTTTTCTTTCACTCAGTGCCGTTACAGCTGATGTCTGATCGCAGATCAGCGGGAACATCCCCCTCAGTGCCGAACCACACAGTGCCAACAGGCTGCAGCTGATCCAGAATCAGTGGCTCACTGACGAAACTCAACGAAGTCAAAGATGAATTGCTTTCCAGCCCCGTAAATCCCTCACAGTAGCTCTACTGCTCGTTTTAACTGACCTTAAGACCGGTGTTTGGACAGAAAGGGTGAAGCAAGTAAAATAGTAGGTGGGACGGATGCTAAAGCTCCAGGTGGTCCTCAACTAAAGCGATTAACTTCTCCATATATTTACAAATCTACGTCCTAACAATGGCAGGTACTTTTCATCGATGCATTGCTTTTGTTCTCGGTTACAGAAACATTTTGCTTACCGGCTAAACAGAAGCAGGCCCTCATTACCTTCAGTAAAAAACGCTGTGAAGAACTTTCTTCCAGAGGAATTTAATGGCACTTTCAGCTCTTTAAAGTCTTTGGGATTTGACGCGGCGTGTGAACGGCCCCTTTACGCAACTCGATTGTTCTCTTCTTCTACTTTTCACATCCCGGACGTCACGTTCAATGTTTGTGTGTGTGAACCTAAAACCACCATCTCCACTTTAAGAGGAGGAAAAAAATAAAAAAAGAGAGATGCAAGCGAACCAACAAAGCACGAACTAACATATTTAATACGTGCGTCGTGGCTGCTGGGGATCAGCGTGTCTGTGTAATAAGACTGTGTAGACGTGCCGTGTGTGTGTGTGTCGTACTGTGGGTTGGGGGGGGGGGGG